CTGATTACATCACCAAAATAACTAAGGTATGAAACTTGTCTTGATATGTGATTTATTTTCCTCTTCCTTGCTTCCTTATTTCCTTGCTTCCTTCCTTCCTTCCTTCCTACCTTACGTACTTCCTTCCTTCCTACCTTCCTTCCTTCCTTCCTTCCTTCCTTCCTTCCTTCCTTCCTATCTTTTCATTTTATTAACAACAGCTTAATGTCTTCCTTACAGCAAAATCACGATTCTGTACCATACCGTCTAAGCCTTCATAACCACAATGTTCTAGCCACATCAAGTGAGAGTAGGGATACACTTTCAGAACAGGTAAAAGCCAGATATGATGTGGGGTGCAGGCTGTTGAAAAATACTGCTTTTGAATATCTGTACATGCATTATTGGTTCAAGTGTAGTACCAATAAAGGTATCACTTTACTTTTTAATACATCTTTCTTGATCACAGATTACACTAAACCAAGAGAAGATGTCCAAGCTAGAACAAGTATGATTTTTTTTTTTTTTTTTTTTTTTTTTTTTTTTTTTGTGCACCTTTGGTAACAAATCTCGAAATTCTTCTTATGTAAATGCTCAGTAAGTGCACGCGTGCACAATAGTAGGCAATTAAACAGGTTTTTAGTAATTACAACACATAAATAACAATCTTTATAGGCACTTTGCAGGGGGGGAAAAAGAACAGAAATAATTTCCATGTTTTGAAATTACCAGTGTCTTGTATGAAAAACGAAGCCAAGATACTGATGCTTTGCGATGCCACTGCTATTGTTTAATTTCAGCACTTGAACTAGAAGCATCAAAAACTGAAGAACACAATCAATAAATAGATAAATGTTCTTAAAAACCTCTAGATAACGTTTATACGTGCTTACGTGTGTTTAACTTGCTTCTAGCAGTCTTCTTACTTTAAGCTGACAAACAATCTTGTTTTTCTGTCATTTGTTTGGTGTATTTTTGCATGTGTATTGATTTTCAAGTTGTGCTATGGACTATACCTATTTACCTTCATTCCTTTATTCTCTTTTTTTTTTTGGTTTTAGACTACAAGTTTGAGTGACATCAGTAATTCTTTGCTCACCAATGGAGATCTGCACGAGAGTATTTCATCAGTCGAGTCATATTTACGATTGAACAGTACCAGCGATGATGGTAAGGACAGATCGTATGTTATCTTATTCTTTCGTTAACAAATCTATCAAAACGATCGAACTCAACAGTAATAAAGTAACATAATGTTACTTTTATATAAAATTGCTGTGATACATTGGGCTCACTTTGAACGATCACTCTTGTAAGCAACGATCTTTCATAAGTGAATATTAATTACTCAAACATTCCAATGCCTCAATATAAACACTGTTTCATAAACGACCATTCTCGTAAGCTAGCGACCACCATCAACATGTTTGATTTTAATTAAGGAATGGATCATAAGTAGCGTGCATCCATCGAGTTATGGATGCACGCGGGAGGTTGCTAAGCACGAAGAAAAGCGTAAGAGTTGC